AACGTCATCCATGGAGGCAGAAGTACAGAAGTTCCCTGAAGTCATAATCATGGACTCTACATATAAAATCAATAAAAATCAGATGCCTGTCTGCGTCATTGAAGTGGTGGATGGGGAGAGCGCAAACCAAGTGGTGGCCTATGCCTGTGCCATCCTTGGTAATGAAACAAAGGAACTAATGACTAAACATGCTTCTTCACTTCGCAGAAGTTAGTGGAGGTGAGGAAGTATTTTGTAAGACCCTCGTGGCAGTTGCTGATAAAGATTTTTCAGAAATTTGGGCTCTCAATGCTGTTCTCCCAAATGCAAAAAAAAGCATTTCTGTTGTGTGCATACAGAGAGAAATGTAACAAAAGCAGCTAGAGGGGATCCGAATAAGAAGGAAGCCATGGAAAGTTTTAGACTTGATGTATTCTAAGACGGATGAAGAGTTTCAGAGGCACTTTAAGCAATTTAATTATGTTGCGACGCTCAAGTTGAAAGCCTATGTCAGAGACAACTAGATCCACTGCAAGGAGGCATGGTGTCTGAAAGATAGGGCTCTGGTTACCATTTTCAAGATTCACTCCACCAACCGTGTCGACAGTGAAAACCATAAGCTAAAACTGGTATGTGTTTTTTTTTTAATTTAGAACCAGAAGAAAGAATTTCAAAATTTGGTTTTTACTCCATCAGGTTCTTAGTGTGGATGGCACACTCTATGGTTCTGTTGACAGTCTGCACAGAAAAACTCTGCGAAGAATCGCTTTGTACTACGAAGGAAATGAAGGCATTATAAAATCTACGAAAACATGCTTCGTATTACGAAGCAAAATCCTTCGTAATACGAAGCATTCCTTCATAATACGAAGCAATTCTACAATGCCTTCATTTTTTTTGTAGTTTTTAAGAGTGTGGTAGGGGTAGGTTGGGTAAAAGAAGTACACTCGAGGCTCGGGTAAGAAAAAAACACCCGTTATATCTCCGAACTGAAACTGCACTGAACCTTCACGTCAGTAGTTTTTCGAAAGATAGGTCATCCCGCTGACAAAAAATAAATTTAGCCCAGTTCTACATATAATATTTAGCATCAAACTGCATGTTTGAAAAAACATTAAAAATAACTATGAAAATCTTTTTTTAAATGTTTGTACTTTGAAGTACAGCTTCCTGCATAATCAGCCGACAGTCCAATGTAAGGTACCACCTTATAGCTTGTTAGACCATCATCTTTGAAAAACAGTGCCGTTCGATGCTCTTAGGCTTCAACACAATTATTTATAAGTGTAAAATTGAAATGGGGAAGAAAAGTACAGTCGGCTGGGGAAGAAAAGTACAGGCATTGGGGAAGAAAAAAACACCCTCGAAGAAACTAAAAGCGGGATGAAAATTGAATTGATCACGGAAATAGATTTGATTAGGCGAGACAAGCAAAAAATGTCAACACAAGTTATAGAATTAGACTCGAAATAAACAAGTTATTGCGCATTTACATGAAAAGGGGAAGAAAAGTACAAAAATGCTGTACTCACTTATCTCTGGGAAAAGGCTTTTGGCACCTTCTGTGATGAGTCCATGTAGAATCAGAACCAATTGACCGATTTTGACGAAACCCTAACTAATGGCAAGTGAAAACTCTCCACTCTAGGGGTAAACCTGTATTGAGCCAAGATTAGTAGTCTCCTGGTTCGTAATCGCAATCCTTTCCTTTGTACTTTTCTTTCCCGGTGGTGTACTTTTCTTACCCTTTTCGAGGAGTTCCAAAATCACATACATTTTGGCATGTTGTACGTAATGTGGGGAACTATAATCAATGAACAGTAATCCATTTCATTAGGAAGGCATTGGATTACAAGTTCACGAGAGCAGAATAGTTGAATCCTCAGTTGGAACTTCTGTACAGTGCAAAGTACGCGTTTTGTACTTTTCTTCCCGAACCTACCCCTAAATATTGTTCAGATCAACAGGGAGGATGCATTGAGGTACAGAGGTTCAGACCAAACAGGTGTACGTGAACAAATTGCTCTGATCCGACTGTCTCAACTGATTGCAACGAGCTTACCCTGTATGCAGCCAGGCTGCTTTGTGAGGAGTATCCCGTCGTCGGTTACTTCTTACTTGTTGCATGCTGGGATGCCCCGCCCCCCAGATCCCCCTTCATGCTAGACAGAGTTGCTTCATCTACAGATAACACGATCTTGACCCTTACAACTTTTTGACTTTAACTTGTTAACCTATTTTTAAGTGAGATTTATGACAGCATTTCTGATATTTTTAAGTTTGACTTCAATATGAACAAGTACTTGTGTCATCCTTATTTGTTCAATTTGAGAACTTTGAGTAAAACATTTATGACTATCATTTCTGTTTTGTTTCTTTTCCTTACTAATTGGTCACTTTAAGAAAAAGGAACATGTTTCAAATACTGAGGTAGCAAAGGGATGATACTCGATCCTGCAATATATAATCCATTCATCCCAGGGGCAGCCCCTAGAACCCAGAGATTAGACACCGCAGTGCAAATTGTCATACGTTTCTAAAAAGTGGCGTGTTTTGCAAAAAATAGAAACAATGAAAAATGTGTTGTTTTTTTTTCGCTTTTATTTTGTTGGTTTTGAGCCGCCTTAACTACGATCGTGGCCGAAGTGTGCTGCGTGTTAAGCTGGCCAAGTTGGCAGCAGAGCAGTCCTGCTCTTCTTCCTCCACTGTCCCCTTCCCCTCATCGTCTGCCTCTACCCTCCTCTCCTATCTGTAACTCCGAATCTTTTTCATATATCCTAAAGAGTTAATTGATCCCATTTTCAAGTTAAAATAGTGAGAACGGTACTGTCTGGTTGTTAACAAAAACGAGAAACTGGGCACCATTACCTTCTAATGCCTGGCAAAGACTCTGCTGATGTGGAAGTTGCACTGGGGAGCTGCGCGCCTGATTCAGGTTTGTTGAAGCTGGCATTGATTTTGAGTAGAATTTAGGAAGTGGACAAGCTTCCTGATGGTCATTTCGATGAAATTAAAAAAAAATGTATTGTAGGGTCATCCACTGCCTCGGCTCTTATTCGGACGGAAGAAGTGACTAAATTGTTTGTACTCTTAGATTGTCTTATGTCTCCCACTTTTCTTTCATGGATTGAACTCCATGGTCCAAGCTACATAGTCCCAACTCCATGGTCAAAATCTCTATTCTGCAAGCTGTGACTAAAATAGAACCTGAAGAAAAAGACAACTTTGTCCCCCCCCCCAAAAAAAAAACGTCATGAGAAACCACGTTATAAAATGCGTTTTCGATGAGACCACACTGCAAATCCAAGTGAAGGACAGGTCGACATTTTAAGGCGTAGACCAGTTTGTCCTACGCTTGCAAGTGTCGACCAGCTGTGTCCGACGCCTGCATGTGTAGGACACTGTTTGTCCTACGGCAAATTACACCGAGTTTCCTATTGTGGCCCCACACTTTGGCCGTCGGACATGCTGTGGTCGACACTTGCAAGCAAAGGACAAACTGGTCTACGCCTTAAAGTGTCGACCTGTCCTACACTTGGATTTGCAGAGCAGACGAACCCCAAAGTATTTTGAGCATACGTAAACTTATACAAAGAAACAATTCGTAATTTGCGAACCATTTTCTGACTATTTACAATACTAAACTAAATAGTTTGAACCTTATGTTTAACATACTCCGTAAGGTTTTAAGCATGTCTGAAAAAAATTTTTTTGTGTGCGCATCAGCACTACTCCTCATAAACGGCTTAAACAGAATTGCAAGTATCTGCCCGGTCTGCTTCTTAGGGAAATCCCAGACCTCAGGCATTTCCTCCAAAACTACCAAGGGACGGGCCAGAAACCAAAATTCTGTCACCAACTGCCACACCCCCTACTTCGCCAGCCACTGAAGTGCTGGGGAAGTGGGGGTGTGTCTTGTCGGGGGGAGCGAGGGGGTAACCACTCGCGTAATACCCTGTACACAAAAATCGTGTATTACGCGTAATACACGTGAACGTAATACCATTTCTGGGTCAAATGTGGCAAATTTTGGCATTTTAAGCCCGCAATACACGTGTAATACCCCCGTAATACAGCGTAATACCGAGTAGTCTGTACACGATTTCGTGAAGTGTTTACCCCCTCGGGGGGGAGCAGCCTTCCTCGGCGTGAGTGGCGGTGACGTCGAGAGGCGCCGTATGTTGAGGCCAAAGTGCGACTCACCTCGGCTGCTACCGCTATCACAACAAGGTGCAGTGGAGTGGCTTGATTCATACGGGGAATTGAGTCACGTAACACTAGAGTCGCCCGATCGTTGTGTTGCATAACGGTCATAGCCGAGGGGTCGTCAACTCCCATCGCGCGTGTGCGAAGTAACACAGTAATGGTAATATACGTCCTATATTACCGTTTTGGCTGATTTTTCATCCTACCTAGGATTTAAGTAGTCTATTCGGTAATATTTACAGATTTTTTGCGGCAATATGAGAGAAATATACAAGTAATATACAGCCTGTGTTCCGAGTTTTCCTAATTTTAGGCCAGAATTCAAGCCCCAATTTTCGGAATGATAGTAATTCAGGGTTGTCAAACACTGTCAAACATGAATTTTAATGATTAATAACCTCCTCTAAAACCAGTCCAAGAGGCTTCTCGGACCTATTTTAACGATATCTTTAAAAATTACCTGAGCTTCCTTTGAGTATATACTTACAAACCGTACCCAGGAACCAACACACAAACCATGTTTAAAAAAAATTTCCTCCTCGACGGAGAGAAGATATTAAGATTTACGTTAGAACCTCCCCTTTAGAGGCCGGTTTTGGCTTAAACATTGTTCGTACACTTGCAATATTTGCATGCCCAATAAGCAGCACTGTGTGGCACTGTTAATTTGGTTTTTGGATCGTTAAAAGGAGAATTTGGGTCTCAGTAATTGATAGGTATCAATTTCCCCTGACTCATCTCTGCCTGGCAGGCTGTTTGCCAAATCGAGCACCATCACCACGTCAGCTATCGTCAGCTGTCTCCCTTCCACCTACCCTGTTCGCCTATGTCTGTCCTTTTCAGCCACACGTGTGGGAGTCCTGCAGAGAGGGTCGCACCTGAGGCCCTCTCACAATAACACTCAAGTCGATGCTGCGACGCACGCCACTCGGCGGCATATAACCGATCAGAGCCGCCCGTCCCGCCAGTAGCAGCTCCACCTTTCCACTCCAGCGATGTACAGCACGCTTGCCATCGTCGCGGTCCTGGCCACGGCGGCCCTGGCCGCACCAGGAACGCCCTTCAGCCACACTGTAAATTGAAATTTCAGAATCTGTATAATGTGTGCCTTGAACCTTGGTAGTCGACAGGAAATGGATCTGTGGTGTTTCCGCCCACAAGTGCCGGTGTCGTCAGAAACTGTTCAGGAGTTACACGTGCGGTAGGGTGACTCCCTAAATTTGATCAAATTAACATCTGCTTTCAAAAATGGATCCGTCCCAACAGGACACACGCTCAGACCTATATGGACTTTTTTCTCTCTTGCTTATAGCGGTTTTTGAGCAAACGTAAAATGAACTATTTCCTTCTTAACTAAGCACAATTTTGATCGTTTTAGGGATATAATTGTCAATAGAGCATATAGAAATTGAAAAGTACATTGCAAATGACATTAAGTCCGGTTTAATGGACTATAAACATTATACAACGAACAAAATAGTGAATAGCCAAAGAGAAAATAGTACATATTACGTTTGCACAAAAACCTTTATGGCAAAAGATAAAAAGTCAATACGAGTCTGAGAGTGCAACCCAAAAAATGTCAAGAACCACTGACTGTGATTCGAAATGAGAGAACATTTGGGCTTCAGACGTGCAAAAAAAAATCGATTTCTTCATTAGAGAAATAAAGCGCCTTGAAAGCACATATTTATTTTCTATTTCGCATCGCAGCCGCACTGACGTGTTTCTTTGTCTTGTGAAGACTAATTCATTACTGCAGGTAGAAAAAATTTGGGCAAATTTAAGAAATGCTTTCAAAAATCGTCTGCTTTGTGACAACGAAGGCATTCTAGAATTGCTTCGCACGACGAGGAAATGCTTCATGTTACGAAGCATTTAGCTACCGTCAACGGGGGTAACTTGGGACACCAGGGGTAACTTGGGACAGTCTGCCCTGTACAGCTTGTTGGTGCTGCCATTCAGCGACGGGGGTTCCTAGCGTCAAACCCCGGCAGGGTTTTGTTTCAGAGGCCTCAGGGCGCGCGCGGGAAGGTAGAAGAGATGCATAACATTAAAACTAGTATTTGAGAAAGGGAAACTACATAATAGGGTTTTTGACAAAATATGTCAATTTTTGACAAGTTGACCCTAGTGCAAGGAGTGACATGCAGATTCGGCCGATTCGTCTCTCTGGGTTGTTCGATCTTACACAGACAATAACGTTCGCAAAAGGGCGTTGATTGTAGATTTCCCATCTTCGGTCCAGACTTCAAATTATCAAAAATCGAAATTTTACGGGGTAACTTGGGACAGTGTTTTCCTCATGTTTCCAGCAGTCCTAGCCTTCTAGGAGTTGACTGACCCGGTCCCTGACATTACTTAAGGGGGCTCATACATGTTAAAAGCACTTTTTTAAAAAAAAATTTTGATGTAGACGGACTAAGATTTTACAATTTCTGTGTTAAAATCCTTTTAGATAATTGAGTAAGCTTCATTTTGGCTTAAGGGAAAGTGACTTTGGACATTTTTTGGAGATTTAGTCGAAACGTTTAAAATTTTGCTTCTCGTAAGATTTTGTTCGCATACTTGCTCAGATCTGTGGGGAAAAAATCAGGGAGACTCATCCCCAGTAGTGTCATAGAATTGACTAGAATGGGCTTTATATCTGCAATAGTTTTCAAGAAAAAAAATAAAAACAATTTTTTTAACAATTTTTTAAACAAATTTTTCAACAAAAAATTGTTTTTATTTTTTTTCTTGAAAACTATTGCAGATATAAAGCCCATTCTAGTCAATTCTATGACACTACTGGGGATGAGTCTCCCTGATTTTTTCCCCACAGATCTGAGCAAGTATGCGAACAAAATCTTACGAGAAGCAAAATTTTAAACGTTTCGACTAAATCTCCAAAAAATGTCCAAAGTCACTTTCCCTTAAGCCAAAATGAAGCTTACTCAATTATCTAAAAGGATTTTAACACAGAAATTGTAAAATCTTAATCCGTCTACATCAAATTTTTTTTTTAAAAAAAGTGCTTTTAACATGTATGAGCCCCCTTAAACTTCGGAATGTACGCTAATGATGGAAAGAGATGCCTCCTCTCAAGGCCTTGCTCTGCAGTTTTGTCTTCTGGTGATCCATATTTTGAAATTTTCAGTAAATGCTTGGATAATACCAGTAGAAAAGAGAGTTCCACGTAGAGCCCTATATATAGTCCGATATCGGTCCTACAAGAGTTCCTAGGCCTGAATTCTTGGTCTACATGTTGTGACTTAAATTTATCACATCCATTAACATCAATAGATGCATGGCAATGTAGCTAATTACCCACTGCCCCAAGTTACCCCCGGTCATGGGGAAACTTGGGACACTCTTTCGAGACCGCTGGGAAACGATATAATCTAGACAAATGAACCAGACAAGCATGAAATCATGGGGAAAGGGTCAAACTTTAACATAGTTAGGATCCATTGGTCTGGGTAGAGAATCTTGCCTCTGGCGTTCAAAAAACGTGAAAAAGTGTCCCAAGTTACCCCCGTTGACGGTACATAAAACGAAGCATTTCTTCATCGATTTTACAATGCCTTCGATTTCTTCGTATGAAGGAGCGATGCTAAGTAGACTCTTTGCCGTGCATCTGTAACCCCATCACTGTAACTGAACAAGCTTGTCTTTTCTGTGACCACCAAAATCGGATTCATTTCCTGACGCACTGTGAAAATTCGTGGCCACTCCATGACAAATTCGTGTGTGATATTTTTATCACTTGAAAATTATGACAGTCTTATCGCAAATTGTTGACATTTTCATCAAAGCTCATAAGGGCTGTGTCATCATCTATATTTGATGACATATTTTAAGAGAAAACTAGCCTTGAAATTGTCGTCAAGTGACAACCGAAATGTTTTACGCGTTAACCACAGAGAACAGCAACTGATTCTGCCGTTTTGCTGTGCAGCCGGAGCTCCCCGGTCAGGTCGACAACGCACTCCTCCAAGCCGAGCTCCGCGCGTGGAAGGCCGCGGGCAAGCCGGACTCAGTGCACTTCCCGGACGCCAACGCGCGACCCGTGCTGGCAGACGTCGTGGGGAACCACTCAGCCCACGGCCTGAGGGGCTTTTTCTGGTTCCCAACCGCTGACGACATCAAGTTCCACCTGTACACGAAGCAGTGAGTAAGAGACGTTGCCCCTGGTTGAATCATGCACTGCAAGAAAAAGAGTACAACAAAAACTGCACAATAAATGTACAACAGGGATTGTATCAAGTACAACGAGGACTGTGCTGCCCAGCACTAGTCATGCCGGTTCCATTGTACTTTGTACAACTGTTGTTGTTCTTGGAAAGTCCACTGCCAACCCAAAAGTGAGACAGTCTCACACTACTTGTAGGTGTGGGACATTTTGTCTCGCGCTTACAAGTGTGAGCCACGTTTGTCTCACGCTTGCAAGTGTGGGACACAGCTTGTCCCACACTTGCCGCCTATGCTAGCCCTATAGTTCAATGCCACGGGTCCCACGCCTGCAAGTGTAGGACAAACCGTGTCTCACACTTGCAGGTGTGAGACATCGATGTCTAATGTGTCACACTTGCAAGCGTGAGTCAAACGTGGCTCACACTTGTAAGCGTGAGACAAAATGTCCCACACCTACAAGTGTGAGACTGTCTCACATTTGGATTTGTGTACTTTTGTTGCGATTATTTCTTGCAGTGTGGCTGCCTTTACCGGGACTTCGTCGGAGTCAAAGGCTATTTCTTGAACCACGACTTACGCAATTTTGAGCACATCGGATGTGGATACAATTTTGTTCGCGCCTTATCCAGAATCGCTTGCACAGCAAATAGTACTTTCATTTGACAATTTGTCGCTCCTGACTGACACAAAATTGTATCACTATCAGATGTGCTAGAATTTCATCATCCCTGAGACACAAAAAAAGGTCCTATGATATTTACGGCTTAGTTGAGTTCAAGGAGGTTCCGATATTAATTTTGTGGGTGTATTTAAGTGGTTTGTAGGGCAATTATAGCGATGTCTTCGAAACGTCGAATCGAGATAAGACTACTGAGTGGATAAGAATGTGATTATCTAATGTCACAGAACTGACTAAGCACCTTTTTCTTTTCAAACAAAAACAGCCACCGCCCGAATTAAAGCCCTCTACAGAAAAATCTGGAAGAACAAATCAGAGTATTCTTTGAGATATTTCACTCTATATTCTAAATAGTGAATATTAAGTTTGAGCGTAGTTCCTTCGCTATGCCCGATCTTTAGTAGAGATTTTAAGGGGGTAGAAGCATTTAGAAGGGGGTAGCTCAGGGCCAATTTTTAATGGCATTGGTCTTGCAATGCCCCTTTAGGACCAGTATTCTCCGTTAAGAAAGATTCGGCTTAAGTTCAATAGCTCGAAACCTAAAATCTACAGAGCATCGCTTTTTAAGGTTGATCTCCAAGCTTTCATATTTATTCCTCGACTTAATTGCCTTATATCATAAAGCAAAGTCCTTCGTAATATGAAGCATTTTTCGGCACGAAGTACACTGCAAGGAAAAGTGTGAATAGTACAACAAAAGTACAAGAAAAACTATACAATAAAAGTACAACAGGGATTGTACAAACCACAACGAGGCCGGGACTGCCCAGCACTCGTCATGCCGGTTCCATTGTACTTTGTACAACAATTGTTGTACTTTGAAAGTACAATAAATTCCTGATAAAAAATTTGCCAGTACTTTGTGTACTTTTGTTGTGGTTTTTTCTTGCAGTGTAGCCTTATAGTATACCCAGGTTTCAGCCGGCCCGAGATTCAATTTTTGTGGCCCTTTATGCATTTCGGAAATTTTCTATACGATTTTAATGAGATTTTGCAGACTAGTAGAACTTTGAACGCTGATTCTCCTGCTGAAATCTCGTTAAAAAGTTAACGGCCAATTTTAAAATCGCCGTTTCCATGGCAAAACTCGACTCGTCAAAGGAAAAAAAAGGGAGTGGGGGGAGCCCGAGCCGGGGCGGACCAATAGCCGAGCTTCTTTTTGGGTCTGTACAGCTTACTCCAAAAGCTGAAATGGCACGTTCGAAATGAAAAATTTCTTTGACTGCAGGTAGACAAGATGCAACAATAGAATTGGTGTCGGTTCGAACGCAGTTTTTCGGGTAGAACTATCCAATAATACTTCTTGATTGGAGTGTTTTTGGACATGCGCAGTAGGTTTGCAATCTGTTTAACAGTTTAACCAACTGTAGCCTTTGAAATCTGTATTAATTTTGCTCTCTTTCTTGTTTTTCTTTGTTTCCTGCTTATGAAAATTCATATAAAACAAATTTTCAATGTTTATGTGATAACTTTCTAAAAAAATTTCACAAAAAATTAGCAAAACAAAAGTTTTTTTTTTTCTAAGATAAAGTTTCTCAAATATTACTTTTTTTCTGTCAATAAAACAATTTTGTTGTTGTTGTGATTCGGTTAGCACTAGGACCACTTCGCTCCACCTCGCGACTTGCAGTGCTCATGTTCCTCAAACAAGACTCACCCGCGTTTCGAAACCTTCCCTCCCGAGTTTTCGAAGTTTGTCAAACCAACCGTCGTGGTGTTGATACGTTGTGAGGGAGAACTATAGACTAGAGAACCATAGCCTTTTGAAACAAGCCAAACAATTCAACGTCAGCAACAATGGAGGGGCAGTTTTAAGGTAGTTCGAGCGACCATGCTATAGTTAATAGAAAGAGTTGAAAATTTGACAGTAGGCTCCTAAGATAGTGATCTAACCACCTGCAAAGTTTCAAACCAGGTCACCGGGCAAAATCAGTGTTAATCCGCGATTAAAAGTAGCCGAAAATAGCATTGCCGCTTATGGGAGTAGGGTTATGTTGCCAATCCGAACCTAGTATATTTCGTTTTTAAAATGCTTGGAGTAAAGGCAAACTGTTAAAAAGCATACATATAATCGTATTCCTAGTTACTTTATGAAATGAAAGAGAGAAAATAGCGCGTCACCGGACTTATTTGAGAGAAAAGACATAAAAACGCGGTTTTAGCAGCCGACACTGGAGTCAAGTGCACAACTAAACAAGGTAGGTTTACGACAGACCGCGTCTTGTCGTATCAGGCTTCGCGATGTCTCGCTGCCTGTTCCTCCAATCCACGCCTGGCGTACCTACCTTGGCCTGCGGCGCTAGCCTGCCTGCGGCAGGCAATGGCTCGTCCGTTGTCGGTTATTTTTTAACTTGTTGAATGCTGGGGGGCTCCGCCCCCCAGACCCCCTACATTGTAAATAGAGTTGTTTTATCTACAGATAACACGATCTTGACCCTTGTCACTTTTTTGGCTGAGCGATAGCGAAGCCTGTTACTCCAGTGGGGTTGAAAAGTTTTTCCTGTCTGTCTGTCTGTCTGTGTGTGTGTGTGTCTGTCCGCACTACTCCTCCTGAACGGCTCGGCCGATCTCGGTGAGATTTTGCACACTCTTTAGGCATGTCCTTGGCTCGGCACACGCGAAATCTCACCTTCGTAGCTCAACTGGTTCAGTTTTTATAGCCGAAAAACACATAAAAAACGGCGAAAAATCGAGTTTTCTGCAGGCAGGATGCCTTCTGTCCTGAAAAAGGGGGGGTCTGGGGGTCGGAGCCCCCAGCCTCGATAAGTTCAAAGGTTACAAGGGTCAAGATCATGCTATCTGTAGATAAGGCAACTCTACCTAGAAGGAAGGGGTGTCTGGGGGCGGAGCCCCCCAGCATGCAGCAAGTTAGAAGTGATCGACGATGGACAAGCCAATGCCTGCCGAAGGCAGGCTAGCGCCGTAGGCCAAGGGAGGTACGCCAGGCGCGGATTGGAGGAACAGGCAGCGAAACATCGCGAAGCCTGTTACGACAAGACGCGGTCTGGCGTTAACCTACCTTGTTACTTGTCGGGTCTGGGGGGTCGCCCCCCAGACCTTTATCCACGAAGTGGCTCTGCAGAATCTCATTTTCGCGTTTTTTAGGTGTTTTCGCATAGGAAATCTACCTTGTAGCTAGATGGTTGAGTTTTATGCCGAAACACATATCGAGTTCGCAGCAAATGTCCCTGTCCGAAAGCCGTTCTGGAGGAGAGCGGAGCAGCCTCGACAGTCAAAGACAAGCGACAGACAGCTACGAGATAAGGCAACTTTTAAAGGAGTCGGCATTGCCCCTCAGCATCAGCAAGGAAGTGTACCCAGACCGTGGCGAAGCCAATGCCGCCGACAGTGCAGGCTGGCGTTAGGCCCTATAGGCTCGCCTAGCCGCTTGGAGGAATGGCTTGTCATCGTCGATACCATTGTTGACGGTCAAGAGCGTCGCAAACCTACTTTTACTTGGCGGTCTGGGGGCTCCTGCCCCCCAGACCCCCCTTTCACTCAAGACAGAAGGCGTCTCTGCAGAAATCTCATTTTTCGCCGTTTTTTAGGTGTTTTTCGCCTATAAAAACTGAACCAGTGAGCTAGGATGTGAAATTTCGCGTGTGCCGAGCCAAGGACATACCGTAAAAAGTGTGCAAAATCTCATCCGAGATCGGCCGAGCCGTTCAGGAGGAGTAGTGCACACAGACACACAGACAGACAGACAGACAGACAGACAGACATGAAAAACTTTTCAACCCCACTGGAGTAACAGGCTTCGCTATCGCTCAGCCAAAAAGTTTAAATTCACTTCTTCGCTTTGCCGCTGCCTAGATGGTCCCCAAAGAATTGAATTCTAAGTTAAAAATAGAATGGGGCCTTTATATTATTTTTTTATGGTCTGGAAACCAAATTTTAAAATTTCAACTCTCGCTTGACTAGTATGCCCCGCGCGAACTACCTTAATGCGCGACTGCTGGTGCTTTCAGCTTCGCGATTTTCGCAAGGGCGCAGACGCCGAGAAACTAATTGCCAACCCGTGAAAATTAATTAACTACCTTCTTTCTGCTAAGAACATTTTAATAATGATGGACTTCAAAGATGTTCCATTGTCAGAACAGTGCGGAATACATTAGCATTGGAATTTTTTGAATTTATCAGCATTTTGATTTCTATTTATTGTCAAGTTTAAATTTCGACGGGTGACACATCGACCACATTGGTACCACGTATTTTTTCATTATAGGAAGCAATACTATAACCCCTTCATTTCCTCTGTAGTTACAAAGCAAGTTCTGTGCGGACGTTTAGAGAGAGCACCCCACTCGACACGACACTTCTTGGCAGTGGCGGCCGCGATCCGACTCTCAAACTTGGACATGCACTACAGGGATGACACCGACATCCACGGCCAGGAGGTCTTTTTGAGCCCCGAGAGCCTGCTGGAAGCCGGTTTCGACACGAGCCTCCCCACCAAGGTCGTCATTCACGGCTTCACCAACAACATCGAGTCACCCGTCATCCAGGACATCAAGAACGGTGAGGGAATGCGAGCAAAAACGGTCTCTGGTTTTCCCAGGAACCCCCTTCAAATTGCCTTTGCTGCAATAGGCACCGTGCGGCTCGCTGGGCCTGGAGCACGATTGTGCAAGCTTTGTCTGCGAACTGAACAGTGTACTCAATACACTCTCACAGTAAAAACTCAACAAGGATCGCTTCGTTATGAAGAAAATGAAGGCATTGTAAAATCTGAGATAAGAAATGCTTCGTATTATGAATCCAAACCCTTCTTAACATGAAGCATTTCTTCTCTTCATAATACGA